TGAGAGTTGAACACGGATATTTTTGAGGTCTTAGCTACTGTCCTAAATTCCTCCATTCTCTATAATTTTATTATAGTTGTTCTTAAATTTGATTGTATATCAAATTTTAAAATACAGATGCCAATCCCCACAACCATCAGACTTATGAATGAGAACCTCATGGGTAAGTCTCAATCATACAGAATTTTAAAGCGCTTCTCAGATCACAAAGTATCTGCAAAATCTGTAATCTAAAAAGGACTAACACTCAAAATATAAAATTAATACTTACAAATCAAATAGAAAATAATAAATAGCCTGGGCCAGACACATTGTCTCACGCCTGTGAGCTGTAAGTGCTGTAATCCTAGCACTTTGGTGGGCGGATCACTTTAGGTCAGGGGTTCAAGACCAGCCTGGCCAACATGCTGAAACCCCATCTCTACTTAAAATACAAAAATTAGCTGGGCATGGTGGCGTGCGCCTGTAATTCCAGCTACCTGGGAGGCTGAAACATGAGAACTGCTTGAACTAGGGAGGAGGTTGCAGTGAGCCGAGATTGTGCCACTGCTCTCCAGCCTGGTCAACAGAGCAAGACTCCATCTCAAAGAAAAAAAAAAAGTCCAGGCATGGTCTTAAAATACATAAATAAATAAAAATAATAAACGACCCAATAGAAAAATAGGTAAAAGAGGCCGGGCGCGGTGGCTCAAGCCTGTAATCCCAGCACTTTGGGAGGCCAAAGCAGGTGGATCACGAGGTCAGGAGATCGAGACCATCCTGGCTAACATGGTGAAACCCCGTCTCTATTAAAAAATACAAAAAAAAAAACTAGCCGGGCGTGGTGGCGGGCGCCTGTAGTCCCAGCTACTCGGAGGCTGAGGCAGGAAAATAGCGTAAACCCGGGAGGCGGAGCTTACAGTGGGCCGAGATCGCGCCACTGCACTCCAGCCTGGGTGACACAGCGAGACTCCGTCTCAAAAAAAAAAAAAAAAAAAAAAAAATAGGTAAAAGAAATAAACAGTCTGTTTCCAAAAAGGGAAACTCGAATAGCCAATAAACATGTAAAAAACATTTAAACTGATAGCCAACATCACTGTTATATAAGGAAATAGAAAATGGTTTTTTTTTTTTTTTTTTTTTTAAACTTATCACAGTGGCAAACCCTTTAAAAATGCTTTGGCTGATAAGGGGAGATGAGTACTCGCCACTGCTGGTGGTAATGTAAACTGATAAAACCCTGGTGGAGAGCAATGTGAGTACTATTAAAATTTAAATATACACACCATTCAGCCCAGCGATTCAATTTTTAGAAATTTACCCTAAAAATACATTCACATATTCTTTGCAATAGGCTCTAAAAAATGGGAAATTACCTAAATATTCATCAGTGGTATTTCACAGAGCAATTAAAAAGGAGACAGCTCTAACTGTACAACACAAAATGCTCTAAGATATATGATCCAAGGGAAAACCACAGGATACAAAACTGTGTGTAAAACACAGTACCATACAGTAATATGCTTACATATGCTCGATAGCTCTGGAAGTTTACACAAGATACCAGTCACAGCGATTGCCCCTGGGGAAGGGAACTGCACAGATAGGGAACAGAGGGTTTCATTTTTGCTCATGTATCTTTTTTCTCTGAAAAACATTGAAGTAAACCTCTATGTGCTAACACAGAATGATCCCCAAGACATAGAGTTGGGCAGGGGAAAAAGTATAATGTAAATTGTACAATGTGATATACATAGATATATCTATGTACATACGTATCTACACACACACATACTATATACACTAGACATGTATGTAAATGCATTGAGTAAGAACTAGAGGAATAAAAACCAAAGTGATTACATGGGTTGTTACCTCAAGGGAAAAGACTAGAATGGCAGAGTGGGTGGATTCTCCAGGAGTTTTTCACATTATCTTTGTTGTTTGACTATTTTTATCACAGGAATAAAATCATATATTACTCGTATAATTAATTAATTTTTTTTTTCTTTAGAGACAGGGTCTCACTCTGTCATCCAGGATGGAGTGCAGTGGTGTGATCATAGCTCACTGTAACCTCAAACTCCTAGGCTCAAGTGATCCTCCCACCTTGGCCTCCCAAGTAGCTGGGACTACAGCTATGTGCCACTATACCGGGCTACCTTTTTACTTTTTATAGAGAAAAGGTGTTGCTATGTTGCCCAGGCTGTTCTCCAACTCTTGGCCTAAAGTGATCCTCCCACCTCTGCCTCTCAAAGTGCTGTGATTACAGGCATGAGCCACTATGCACAGCCTATGCTTGTATAATTAATTTTTGATAATTTTGATGTATACCAGAATTAAGAACCACTGTTCTATCAGACTTAATATTCTAAGCACCAAAGCTGCTTCACATACTTTTTATAATCTCGCAGGTCCTAGTGCAGTGCCTTCTATTAATTGGAGTTTCTGCTTTTAATGGATAAATAGGTGAAAGAAATGCCTCCACTTATACCACCTCTACTGCCATCAGCAGGCCTCATACCAGTACTTCTTCACCACCTGACGGGTTCTAAACAACTCTTGGACTTGATGTGCCATGTCCTTGTCCCAAGCCAACACCATTACGCCTGTGGTTTCCTTGTCCAGCCGGTGGCACAGATGCAAGGGCTCTGCCTTGTGGCCATGAAGCATCTTTGCCAGGATAGGTAGTACATCACTGATGCAGAGCTGGACCCCAGGGCCACCTAAGAAGGAAAAAGCCAAAGATTTGAGTGGCCAGGAAAAGATCTCACCAAAGAACTCTTCTTGGGAGAAAAGCCCTTAATGGATAAACTGTCAATATTTTCTAGAGCATTACTACTGAAGTGTGGTCCAAAGACTAGCAACAATGGCATGTCTAGGGAGCTTATTAGAAATGAATCTCAGGCTCCCAACCTAGACTACTCAGTCAGAATCTGCATTTTACAAGCTGTCCAAATGGTTGAGAAGCATAATAAAGTTTGAGAAGCACCATTCTAGAGCATGTGGCTTTCCTCTCAGACATACTTTGCAAAACCATGAGGCCTTCGAGAAGCATTAAATAAGAGTGATTAGGAGGATAGGCTTCGGGGTTAGACATTCCTGGGGTTCTAGTCTCCTCTTCTTATTAGCCATTTTTTTGACCTTGGACGCATTACTTCTCTTTCCAACTTTGCTTTCTCATTATAAAATGTAAATATCTGAAAAACAACTTCATTGGGGAATGGGGAGGCAAAAAACTGTTGTGAAAATAAAGAGAGAAAAAAATTATACAAACACTTGGCAATGTCTGATTTAGTTCCTTGTCTTTATGAACGACTATCTCCATATCTCCCCGAAAAGCATTACCTTCTTCTAGCTAAAACGGGCCTTTTCCCTCTGCAAAATTCTTTCGCAAATGCATTTTTTAAATCAATCTTTCCTGATTCACCTCAGCTGTCCCTGACAACTACATGCAACATTTGTTGAAAGACATTTGAGCGTCCACTAAATTCCAGTTACTCTGGGGCTGTATGTTACATATACTCCCACATACACACACACACACATCCTTTTTTCTTTTTTTGTTTTTTGAGACGGAGTCTCACTGTCACCCAGGCTGGAGTGCAGTGGCCCGATCTCAGCTCACTGCAAGCTCCGCCTCCCGGGTTCACGCCATTCTCCCGCCTCAGCCTCCGAGTAGCTGGGACTACAGGCGCCCGCCACCTCGCCCAGCTAGTTTTTTGTATTTTTAGTAGAGACGGGGTTTCACCATGTTAGCCAGGATGGTCTCGATCTCCTGACCTCGTGATCCACCCGCCTCAGCCTCCCAAAGTGCTGGGATTACAGGCTTGAGCCACCGCGCCCGGCTTCCTTTTTTCTTATGTATCATTTTCTCATTCCCAGTTTTGATGGAAGATAACCTTTAGTCTAGAACCACACAGCCTTTGTATATCTCTACAGTGATCCCTGTGGTCTGCACACAGCGTATTCCACTAATTGCTGCTTACTGTCAGATGTTTAGAAGGGGAGGACTGTCTTATTTATTTATTTCTGTGTCCTCGGTGGTTCCTTATATTGGACGGTAGTCTACAAAGGTTTAATTAATTTGAATGCAAGCCTTTAGAGTGCACCACAAGTAACGTCTCAGTTTTCCTCGGTTGTAGCAGAAAGCAGCCACAGGTCCCTCTCCCATTCCCGCGTGGTCCTTACCATGCACAGGGAGACCGTAGGGCTTATTGATGACAACAAGGTTATTGTCCTGGTGGAGAATTCCTCGGGTCAGTGCCTTAGCAAGCACGTTGGGGTGGACTCGCTGCAGCTGCCGTGTGAACCGCACTATTTCTTGCACTCTCCGCTGAACAGGGTTTGTGGACACCTAGGGAGAAAGAAGGAGCTGTGGGGAATGCCTGGTGCGGAAGCGGTGGAGAAGACCTTACACAAAGCTCTGGGTGAGAATCTGAGTGGGGAATGACTATCTTTGCATCAGACCCGCGCCTTCCTCGAGTAATCTGAGAGCAGGGGTACCAGTTTGTCTAACCTGCGTACCCACGCAGTGGGTAGGACCGAGCCTGACAGTAGCCAAAGACCCAGCTCACGGGAAAACACCGTACCCTTACTGACCCCTCCCCTCCACCTTCTCCCCATTCTCCCACCTCGTGTCCGGGCTATTGACTCACACGCTTTCAGTCAGAGGACCCTCCTACCTACTCCGGGTCCGGGAAACCAATGAGCGCACTGTCTCTTGGGAGTTGTGGTCCCTTCGGACTCACCGGCTTCTTGTTTGTGTCTTGTTCCTGTTTCTGGGCTCGGAGCCTCTCCGCTAATCTCTGGGCATTTACGGACGTAGAGGCAGCGGCAGCGGCACAAAATGGCTTTGAGACAAGACTGAAGAGACTCCCCAAACCCTGGCTGTTTCCCCGGATCCAGAGGCCCGACGGCCTCCACCCGGGCGCCGCCATCTTGCCAGGAAGGGAGGGGCGAGCCAAGACCACATGGAGAAGGGCGGCAAGAGTGAGGCGGGAGTGGGTGGACCCTGCAGGTCACGTGGTGCGGGGTGGGGCCTGGGGGAGTCACGGGGGAAGGTGCGCGCTCAGTGCGGCTGCGCCGGCCGGTAGCTGCAGCTGGAGCAGTGGCGTTTGGAGGAGACTCGGTGAGTGTGTAGGGAAGCAGGGCTGGGGCTGGGAAATGCTGGTGCCTCAACGCTTTAACGTTTTCCGCGTCCCCGGTATTTCCATTCAAGAAGAACACTGGTCCGAGAAACGTTTCTCCTTTTGGTACACGATCTCAGTGAGAAACTCCTCCCCGCCCCCGCGCCCCCTTAGAGGCGATGTCCCATAAACACTCGCCCCAGAGCCCTCCTAGGCACCTACGCTGTCTCTCTTAGCCACCGAATCTCCGGTGATCCGCCAGTCCCCTGCGGAACTCGTCGGGTACTCTCTTGATTGGATGCCCGGATCTCTGTAGCCTCTCCACCCGTCATCTTCCAACTCCCATCCTCTTTGTTTCACGTTGTAACCTGTCCCCCTCTCGTAAGGATGACGGCCCCTTCCTTTATCCAGGGCCCCCAGCCCCTACTTCCTACTTAGGAAGCACTGCGAGTGTTTTTTCTGTCCTTCCTCAAGAATTCATTGCTTGGAGTCTCCTCCCTACCTTCGCTACTCCTAAAGAAAAAGCTGAAAGTACGGAGCACAGACCTTCACTTTTCCTGTTTCCTTTGTTTTTTCTCTTCTCCACAGTTTGCAACCGCACCAAACCCCCTCTCACGAGATGCGATGTTGGGATTCCCTTGCCCGAACTGCAAGTGACTCCCTCTGATTTCACTCAGGGGTGGCTGGGAAGATAAACATCTGCTTGGGATGGTAGTGTTAAAAGTAACTTAGGATGTTCCTGCCATTTGTTAAGGGGAAAACTTATGCTGAGTTCAGAAAGAATGTCCTGAAAACTAATGGATCTGTGACGATAGGGGGAACAATTTTTTTAAGACTGCTTGGAATGAAGGCTGCCTGAGGAGTTATTAGAGAATAGGTAGTTGAGTTAGATTTGGGTTCTACACCTCCTAAAGGGTTTGGCAGAAGGGAGCCGTACCAACAAGAAACAAAGTTGGTCAGGTGGAGCTACTCATAGAAGACTCAAGTTGAAGAGTTTGAACTAGAGGTGACAAGTTGAAGAGTTGGAACTAGAGGTAGTGGGGAGTCTTTGAAGTTTCTTGAGTAGGGCAGAGAGACTCCTTGAAAGTGAAATTCTGGAAGTGAATCTGGCAGTTGAATGCAGGACAGATGGGAAAGGAAAGGGTTTGATAGTAGGAAAACTAGTTATAACCTAGGTGGTCAGTGATGAGGTCTGGTCTTTTCCCCTACACTGTAACTGTCCTTTGAGTTTGAATTGATTATGAGTTACGCAGGTAAAGACGTACTGTTGGCAGCTGCTGTTGATCTGTGTGTCCCTGGAAGACCTTTTTTTTTTTTTTTTTTAAATCCTCTCACCTGGCACATAGTAAACTCACAATATCTATTAGATGGCTGAAGTGCATCATAAATGTATGCTAGGTGTGTCTGAACATTTTGAATTGTCTTATTTCTGTCACTGGCCTGAAGAATGAACGTAGAGGCAGATGTATTTGTAAAGTTGGAAAGAAGCAAGCCTTGTGTACGTTTCTGTTATAAGGCAGGTGTAAATGCCGATTCAGATATAAATGTGAAGAATTCCAAGGGAGATTGAGAAACAACATCCATTTCTCCTGTTCCCCCCACCGCCCTGCACATTTACCAGTAGGACAGAGATCTGTAAAAGTTGAGAAATTCCACCTTAAAAGAATTATTACCTTCCGTGCTCCAGACCTAGGTTCTAATTTCACTAAACAGATGAACATCACGTATTACTTAGATACTTGAAGCTCCCTTTTCCAAGGACCCTGAAATTTTGACATCCGGAATTAAATTCATATCATTACATTAATTAGAAACTTGTTTTGGGTACAGGACTTTTATGGTTTTGTGTCCGGAATGGGAGAACCTGTTTCTACCCTAACTGTATGGCATTCAAGAGACTACACCTGTTCTTGCAGAATTGGCCTTCTGTGGCAGGAAACAAAACGAAGAACCAACTCAAATGTCATTGCTAGTGACACAGAGCTTGTGCTCTAGGGTTTCAGGTTAACGCAAAGCACACAGTGACGAAGAATAAAAGTATTTGTTCTTTATTTCTGGAGAAGAAACTTTTAGGTTTGTCTTGTTGAAACTTTGTAGAGAAATTTAAAGAATTCAAAGTTTGTGTTTGGTATGACAGTGCAGCTTTAGCCAGCATGGGTACGTCAGTTACAACATACTTAACGTTTCTCCCGTGAGTCTAGGCACTTCGTGATTTGGAGTTGTTCTCAGTATAAAGAATTTATGCAAATGTCATGTCGTTTTTTTTTTTTTTTCTTCCTCAATTTTCAAAGAGCAGTAATTGCCCCTCAGATAAACCTCATTGGCTGCGATACTGCCACTGCCAAAAACTCTTTTGTTTCTGGTTTTTGTTTTTGTTTTTTATAATCTCTATATTGCCTCCTCCCTCTTCCTCATTCAGCTGGTCCTTTGTTAGGCCGTTCACTTTTCCATTTCTGCGTCAATGTCACACTCCATTTGTTGGGAACTCCTCTTGTCTAAACTGTTTTCTTAAAACAAGGAAGGAAGTTCTATTAGTGATTTCTTCATTCTTGGAGAGTACAGCTGTATTCAAACATGACTTATTTACATTGATTTTGATATATCATAATATGTGCCCCCCAAAATAACCATATGAAGAACTTGATAGTTTCTTTTTAAAGATATTTCCTAGTCTATTCCGGAACAAAAAGGCTGCATTAGTATTTCACAAGTATAAAGAAGGACTGACTAATAAAGGAACTTGCCTTTATCATAAATTTAAGGTTAATCAGTGGCATGAAGTTTAAGTTACGCCTCCTCAAACTGTGATTTGTTAGTTGCAGATTAACCAGCGATTCCATTTCCTTGAAAAGCAGGATGTACTTGGACATGGTTTTATGGTTTTATAGAGATTAAAGGACGCAATTAGCAGGAACTCTCGGGAGGTGCCCTGGAAAGTGCAGTCTTTGGGAGCCAGGAGATGTGGGACTAGTCCCAGTTCAGCCACTGGGAACTTGAACAAATAATTTGGGCTTCAGTTTTTTTGTCATTTAAAAGATCTTTGCAACTCTGTTTCTAGTCTGTGAAGATTTTCCACTGATACGTAAGTACTTTCAGCCCGAATCAGTGGGATTTATTTCAGATTTATCTTGAATACATTTAGCATTGATACTAAGAAACCGAATTCTGCTCTTGTCCCCAGAATTTAACTTTTCACCACTGAGCTAATGTTTATATTTGGAGGTTACTTCATTGAGTGGTGTTGGAATATACTTTAAGATTTCCGGCCGGGCGCGGTGGCTCACGCCTGTAATCCTAGCACTTTGGGAGTCCGAGGTGGGCGGATCACGAGGTCAGAAGATCAAGACCATCCTAGCTAACACGGTGAAACCCTGTCTCTACTAAAAATACAAATAGATGGGGATGGTGACGGGCACCTGTAGTCCTAGCTACTTGGGAGGCTGAGGCAGGAGAATGGCGTGAACCCGAGAGGCAGAGGTTGCAGTGAGCCGAGATCGTGCCACTGCGTTCCAGCCTGGGTGAAAGTGTGAGACTCCGACTCAAAAAAAAGAGAAAAAAAAAGATTTGTTCAATGGGGGCGGGGTGTGTGGCTCACACCTTAATCCCAGCACTTTGGGAGGCCTAGCGGGGAGGACCTTTTGAGACTAGGAGTTTGAGATCGCCTGGGCAACATAGCAAGACCTCGTCTCTACAGAAAATCACAAAATTAGCTGGGCATGGTGATGCACCTGTGGTCCTAACTACCCTTGAGGCTAAGGTGGGAAGATCACTTGAGCCCAGGAAGTCAAGGCTGCAGCTTCAGTGAACCGTGATTGCAGTACTACACTCCAGCCTGGGTGACACAGACAGACCCGTCTCAAAGGAAGAGAAAAAGTAATTTGTGTAATATGGTTTAAAAGGCAAATAGTAATAAAAGGTTTATATTTAAAAACCAGTTTCTCAGGCTGGGTGCACCTGTAATCCCAGCACTTTGGGAGGCTGAGGTTGGTGGATTGCCTGAGGTCAGGAGTTCGAGACCAGCCTGGCCAACATGGTGAAACCCAATCTCTACTAAAAATACTAAAATTAGCTGAGCGTGGTGGCGTGTGCCTGTAATCCCAGCTACTTGGGAGGCTGAGGTAGGAGAATCACTTGAACTGGAGAGATGGAGTGAGCCAAGGTTGCACCATTGCACTCCAGCCTGGGCAACAGAGTGAGACTCCGTCACAAAAAAAAAAAAAAAAACCAACAAAACAAAAACCGTTTCTCTGCCCTCCCTACCTGGTAGTCCCATTCTTTAGAGGCAACCACTCAGTTGTTTTCCTCTTTTCCTCTGTCTTTACAGTAAGTTATCAACATCATCAGTATTATTGAAACACCATATGACAAAACCAGTTTTACCATATGGTTTCTATGGCGTTTTTCTGGTCACAAAAACATACCCAACTTCTAAATAAAAACCAAAACATTTCTAGTATGAAACACTGAAACAAGTAAGATTTTCACCCACTTTTTGGTGAGTCAGTGAGTTACTGCAATCATAGTGGTGGTGGGTTAAATCGAGGAATAAATGTGTGCAAAGTGAAAATTGTCAGAAGCATTTCCTACCACCATGCTCAGTTCCAAAACAATCCATCACCAATAGGGCAGGCCCCCTGAGAGCTTTTGTGCCACATCGGTTATTGTTGTGCATTTGGATGATTACCATAAACTTTGCAGATTTTTATTTGCTGGTAATTTGCATTCATTCATGCGTTTTCCAGCTCAGGCTCACAGGTGACTGGAGCCTATACTGGCAGCTCAGGGCACAAGGCAGGAGCCAGCCCTGGACAGGACGCCATCTATCCCATAGGGTGTGCATGTACACACACACACACACACAGGGACCATGTAGACACACCAGTTAACCTAGTAGGCACATCCTCGAGACGTGGGAGGAAAGCAGAATACCTGGAGAAAACCCACACAGACGTGGGGAGAACGTGCCAGCTCCACACAGATGGGTGACCTCAGCCAGGAATCA